TTCTACATGTCTGTCTATAGCAGGGGTCGGCAAGTAATTTTAGGTGGGGTCCGGACACTTTTGAAATTTTTTAACGAGGTCCAGAAAAAAATTCATATTTCTTACTAATTTTTTATTTTCATTTGCATTAAGAACTCAAATCAGTCACAATTGTAAAATACTAGAAAAAATGATAAGGGTGGCACTCAAACGAAAAAAAAAATTTTTTTAAATAATTTATTTGAGTAATTTATATTTTCAAAAAATTTTTGGCGGTCCAGTATTTTACCTTCCGCGGTCCGGATCTGGACCGCGGTCCGCCAGTTGCCGACCCTTGGTCTATAGAATTGAATTAAAAGTAAAAATATATTTCCATGAATTTTCCCTCGCCTTTTGATCAGCCTATAAAGCGTACTGAGGGTAGACACTTTTCAAAGTATGCGTACTGCATCAAAATGGAAATATCATGAAGCATAGTGAATTTATTTTAATTTCGCAATTATTTAAAAAATATATTGTGAATACTACAGCTGATATAGTTCCTCGATGACGTCAGCTAAGAGCTCAAGTTTTCCAAACCAACGGAGTGTAAAGAAAATTTATCTCTCGTAGGAATTCTGCATCATCACTGTTAAAATTTAAGCAAATATTTGGTAAATAAATTTCGAACATTCAATGGTTTCTGAGAAGTTAAAAATACTCGAATAGCGAATGATTTTAAACGTTAAAGAATGAATTGGATTTTTATTTGAAACCATAAAACTTCGCCTAAAATGTTTTGGATAGCCTTAACCCTCAAATACCACCTTTTTTTTAACAGCTGCCATTTCTCAGGTAGCAACTGCCCACCACGATAATTTCTTCTATACAGGGTGTCCCGAAATTCATGCAACAAAATTTGGTCATAGATTCTTAAGACAAATTTAGGGGATCCGTATTTTTTCTTTTTGCCAACTGGCCCCCTCTTTCGGAGTTACAGCCCCTTGAAATCTGCCCTAGTAACTAACCAATAATTAAAAAAAAATCAAATTTGCGACCAAATTTTTTTGGTTCCAAAGACAAGGGGGCCCACGAAAAAATGTCTTAAGGGGGTTTCTCGCCAAAAAGCGTAGCACTGTGAGATTTCACATGTCATAAAATCCCTGTGTACCAAATTTAGTGATTCTCGTACAACATGGTTTCGAGATAAAAAAGACTTCTTAGGGGCAGATTTCAGGGGGCTGTAACTCCGAAAGAGGGGACCACTTGGCAAAAATAAAAAATACGGGTCCCCTAAATTTGTCTTAAGAATCTGTGACCAAATTTTGTTGCATGAATTTCGGAACACCCTGTATAACAATTGAGCCGTACCACAATTGGCTCAATCTGTTATTATCAGCTAAATTTGAGAGTCTGAAAAGTCCAATCGGTGCGACTTCGCACTAATGTGACTTTAGTTTGGGCAAAAGTGTGGCAGAAATTAAGTTAATTAAAATGCTTTCCGATTTTTTTTACCTCATTTTACCTGTCAAGTAGACTAAAACATTGTTTATTTATTTATTGTTAATAATTTCTCATTTTTTTCATTAATAGTTTAATTGTAACATGTATTTGTCAATAATTATGGATAATATTGATACCTATATATTCGAGATCATTTTATCAATAAGAGGTATTTTTTTCTTGAAAATATAGACATTAAACTTTAAGAACCTTTTTTACTTCGTCTCTAGCCATTATTTATAAAAAAAAAATACGAATTAAAAAAAAGTTATTTTTCGACAAATGTTTTCAATCGCATTCGCATTTTTTATTAACTAATAATTTTCTTTCAAAGCTAATTAGATCATTCGATTTCTCGGAAAATTTTACACCAGGTTTGATATAAATACGCTATTTTTGTTAAGAAATAAAGATGACATAAAGGTTCAAAGTTGCCAAAATCCCAATTCGCACTAGTGTGATCTTTAAGGTGGCCCACTCCAAGTGTGACCTTTGAGGGTTGAAATCAGTAAAAAATAGGTATTTTTCTTGATTGACATACTAATTCACATTACCTATTTCTTTTAATAAAAGCAATTAATGTACAGTGCAACTTAATAGAGTTTGATTAGAAAAAAAATGTTTTAATGAAAATTACATTTACACAATGTCAAAACTGCTTAAATTAAATTACATTTTTAAATGTGATTCATTACTGCTATAAAGTAAAGTACTTGGATTTCCGGAAATAAAATTTTCCTTGGAAAATACTTCATTACCCTCCACTTTTATATATTGCCAAAACCCCTAAAAACTAAAAACCAAGTTAAAAAGTTGCATTCAGAAGTTTTTCCTACACCGGACATGAAGACAAAATCAGTCATTAATGGATTAAGTAATGCTCCTCACACCCCGAAACCTCAAAATTTGCCACAACTTTCCTCTAGACAGATTGTTCGAAGACAAAAAGGATCTGTTACTATATTTGTTTTGGAAAAATTCTATTTGAAATCTTAAATGACATCATCGAAGAACTCTATCAACTGGTTCATAGAATCCAAAAATGTTTTACTGTTATTGGAGTTTTAGATGAATCACCCAGTGTCTTCATTCAAATTATATTTAGCGTAAATAAGTTACGCCCTAAACAAATTTATAATACTAATTAATTTAAGCTAACCTTTTATATTTTCGAAATCTTAAGAATTTATTAAATGGATTATTCTCTCAAGAGAAGATTTGACCGGCTAAAGGAGACGATGATAAATTTGGAGGCAATTTTGTAAGCTGAAAAGTGCAAACGGTAACAATGATAAGGTGCTATAAAATTGCAAACTTAGCCCTCATTCCAAGCACGCCTGAGCTTATTGCGGAAAGCCCTAAGCTCGCAATATATCCTGCCTTCGCCCTTTCTAATCTATTTTGTATCGTTTCATTTTATGTTCAGTTATTAAACATAACTTTTAAGAACGGTACTTTTCGGTTATTTAAAAGCAATGTTTAACTAGTGCGGTTATATATTGGTTCTTTAAAGTTGATTCTTAAATAGTACATGATTTTGTATTATGATACATTTGGAACATGAATTAAAGCTGTAGCTGTAATATCTTCAATATCACGAAATGGAAACTTCGGTGAATTTTCGTTTATATTTATTGAAGGGTATGTGTCAACGGTATGATAGTATTTCAAAAACAATCAAATCTAACTGTCTGAGATTGTTTATCGTATCGTAAAAATCAGAGTTACATGTACAGAAGGAGCTTTTTTTCCACCAACGACAAATTATACGCCGGTTCAGAAATTTTTTCCGGTAGATATGTCTATGCATGCAATTTGAAGTCAAACTAATTTTTTTCTGAATAACTTGACAAGATGCAATTGTGAAGAAAAATTGTTCAAGCCAAATTAGTAGTATTTTGATTGACCAATTTGATAGTGTCCTTGGATTGACCTTCACCACAATTTGCACGGTCAATCTAAGGTCAACTTAATATTAAATGAAATATGCTAGTTTTTGCCAGCAACCAATAAAGTGCTAAATTTTATATCGGAATCTAAGGTCAAAGATTTTTTCCAGGATATCATTGTAGGTCATTTGAAAGATAAAATTTGACTAGAGACACTTTCCTTTATCATTTGAACTTGTCGAGTTCAGCGAAAAATGTGATTTGATGATGTGATTTTTCACATTCAAATCACCTAAAAGGAGATACCCAAAAAGCTTTCTGACCTCAGACTGGGAAGTAAAATTTGAACCGTCGATAATAAAACAGGTGTTCCAATTCATAATTTCTTGTTGATCTTAGTTTGACCTTCAAAGGTTAGATCTTGGTTTCTTGATATCTTAGACAATTACACAGCCACAAAAAAAAGTTGTCTGTTCTTTTCATGCGTCATATGTTATCCGTAGTATTTTAACCTCCTGATCACGAATCCGGTGTCAGAATTGAGCTATAACATCAAAGGAATTTCCTAACCTCAAAAAACAGGTCAAAAATAACAAAAATTCACGAAAAAGTGCTAGGGAAAATATAATTTTTTTTTCTATATTCAAATTTTCATTTATATGGTTAAGATATCGCCGAATCTGAATCAGCGGTCAGAATTGATGGTTCTGTTTCTAACCTCAAAAAAAAAAAATGGGTCAATTAAGGTCAGATATCACGAATTTTCAAAAAATAATAGATTAGCGTCAAATTTGATATACGGGGATTTTTGGGGTCGGTGATCACAGATCCGAGGTCAATTTTGCAAAATTCAAGATGGCGGATACAAGATAGCCTACCAAACTATCAAAAAATCACAGATTTGCTCCAAATTTGGTAAAAGGGGGTTTTCGGAGTCGCTGATCACGAATTCGAGGTCAATTTTGCAAGTTTCAAGATGGCGGCCGACCAAATTTTCAAAGAATAACACATTCGCGCTAAATTTAGTATTAGGCGGAAAACCCGTGAATAGATCATTTACAGAAAAAAGAACAAGATATAGCCAAAAAAAATGTTAAAAGATGATTGGGTACTCAGGTTATAAAGAAATTCCTGTGATGTGATAGCTCAATTCTGACATCGGATTCGTGATCAGGAGGCAAAAATACCGTATGTCGCATGAAAAGTACAGAGAACTTTTTTTGTGTGGCTGTAATTATCGGAACTTTTTTTATGGAATCATGAAAAGTGAGAGTAGGTTCGGATCTCCTTTGGAGATTTACATATTATAAATTTTTTACTATTTTCTAATAAAGAAGAGTTTTATTTCTATAACCTCTATTGTACTACTTTGTTCCTTTTCTTTTGAGACAATCTCAATCAGTTCAGAAACTAAGTGCTACATCCCTAACTGATATTCGGTGTTTCTCATCATGACGATATGAAATACTATCAGTACCATTTCAAAGAATTAATCTTGTTTTCGTTCTAACTAAAACAGCTGACACTGTGACAGAAAAAGAAGAGTTAGATCTCAGCATCAGCTTTAATTTACGTTCCCGGTGACATGGACTATCCACAATGCGTGAAAGCATGAGCGCAATGTCGGCAAAAAATGCAAACGCTACTTACATAGACTTCCTCCCATTGGCTGACGTATCTGACGAGACGGGACAGTCGCAGGAGCCGCACCAGCGATAACAACTTCGCGAGCCGCAATATCCGCAGTGCGCGGCCCGCGTGGAGGAATTGGAAACTGTCGCCGTAATCCTGGAACAGAGTTTTAGAGAGTCTCGGTAATTGCAAAAAACTACAACGGCCAACAGATCTACAAGAGACAATTATTAGCATTCCCTTGGTTAGAGAGGATGTGGGGTTTCGGGTTGGAACTATTTACTGCTTTCTTAAAGGAGTAGTGTCATCTAGTGGTTTGTATTGTAACGTAAGCAACGATGTACCTTTGACTATATACAGCGTGTCCCACTAGTGAGGGAAAGTCCAATATCTATGTTAAAATGAGGAATATATGAATTTTTCTTTTTACTGTGGTGCCACATTTCTCGGAATGTACAAATTAAAAATATATTCAACTATATAGGATGTTCCACTTTTCCTGGCCAGACACCAACTTTGGTTTTTTAAATGGAAACACACATTTTTTATATTTTTTTCGGATTCTACATCAAAAATAAAGGGTACTTTGTGTAGAATAGTTCTATTCAAATATTCACAGTTTTTGAGATATCTCGCTTGAAAGGTTTTTCTAGTCGATATTGGCTGCTTACATTTTCTGATACTGACAGGTTATACTAATAGCTACTAAGCCCATTTTTTTATCAGATGTTTAGTAAGGATGACTCTTCCGAATCATGCTCCAAAAACTGGCCTGCGTTATACAGGGTGACCAAAATATCATGTCAAAATTGCCAATTGAAAAATTGAAAAATCTCGAATTTTTTAAATGCAACACCCTGTATATTTTCATACCATGAGATGCAGAATTAAATTCTCTACAACTTTGCTATACCTGCTCCTATACCAAAATTCATTAGTTTTTCATGAAATCTCATTTCTATGAAAAAATGCGAAGTTTACAAATAGCTTATATGTAAAATAACGTAGTAGGCTCCTGTCAAAGGATAATCTGGAAAATTTTCGATTCACATAAGGTTTAATAGAAAAGCGACAGTAATAATTGTGAAATGAATTACTCTAAAGAAGAATTAGTAAATAAATAATAGAATAATTAGTAAAACTCATGGTAACTGTTTATTGGCAAGTCGTATTTACCAAGCTAATAATCCAGATTTACAAAGATATCCTCGTACAAAGTGTTTTGTAAAACTGAAGGAGAGGTTTGAAAGAACAACAAATGCAAATTATGAGAAGACAACAAGAACACACGCATGCAGTATCCAAAACAGTAAATTAACATCGTGCATTTCTAACAAAAGTAATAAAGACCTAGTTAAATTAGTAATTAATAGGTAACCGCTCAAAATGTCTGCCATTTTTCTCTAGACATTGAGCAATTCTACGACGAAAATTGCTTGACACATTTCGCAGCATTTCCGGAGTTAGGGTCAAAAAAGCATTTCTTATCTTTGCCCGTAAATCTTCTACAGCTATCGGAGGAGTTTTATACACCCTGTCTTTTATATAGCCCCATAAAAAAAAAAATCAAGACGACAGGTCTGGGGATCGGGGAAGCCATGGAATTGGACCGCCTCTACCTATCCACTTATCTGGATACAAACCATTTAAGTATTCTCTAACCTGAAACAGTTTTTCTATGAATTTACATAATTTACATAATGAGAAAACTTGCCGCCAGTGTGGAATGTGCAGGGGCACCATAATGTTGGAACCACTGACTGTTTAAGTCGTCCGGAGGAATATGTTCCTGCAATTGGAGCAAGTCGTTTTGTAAAAATTGCAAATACCCATTACCAGTTAAGTTTCCTTCAAGAAAATGTGGTCCAATGACATATTCTCCGCATATTCCCGCCCAAAACGTTGACTTTAAAGCGGTGTTGATGATCGTCTTGTCTTATTAATCTGGGATTATGATCGGCGTAATGGTGATAATTATGTCGATTCTCTCGACCAGTATTGGCAAAGGATGACTCGTCAGTAAATAACATATTTGAAAAAAAAATTTCATCTTGTAGCCACTCACAAAATTGTACTTGCTTCTGAAAATCTTGCTGTGTTAAGAATGGGTGATACTCAGAATGATAGGGGTGGAAGTTGTTTTTTTTAACGTTCTATTAACCACACTTTTGGAAATACTAATTTCATCACTAATTTCTCTGACACTTGTAGATGGATTTTGGACTGCACATCCCAAAATGTCAATTTAATTATCCTGATTATTGCATGCGTGTGTTCTTGTTGTCTTCTCATAATTTGCATTTGCCGTTATTTCAAACTTCTCCTTCAGTTTTACAAAACACTTTGTACGAGGATATCTTTGTAAATCTGGATTATTAGTGTGGTAAATACTTGTCAATAAACAGTTACCATGATTTTACTAATTGTTCTATTATTTATTTACTAATTCTTCTTTAGAGTAATTCATTTCACAATTATTACTGTCGCTTTTCTATTAAACCTTATGTGAATCGAAAATTTTCCAGATTATCCTTTGACAGGAGCCTACTACATTATTTTACATATAAGCTATTTGTAAACTTCGCATTTTTTCATAGAAATGAGATTTCATGAAAAACTAATGAATTTTGGTATAGGAGCAGGTATAGCAAAGTTGTAGAGAATTTAATTCTGCATCTCATGGTACGAAAATATAGAGGGTGTTGCATTTAAAAAATTCGAGATTTTTCAATTTTTCAATTGGCAATTTTGACATGATATTTTGGTCACCCTGTATAACGCAGGCCAGTTTTTGGAGGATGATTCGGAAGAGTCATCCTTACTAAACATCTGATAAAAAAATGGTCTTGGTAGCTATTAGTATAACCTGTCAGTATCAGAAAATGTAAGCAGACAATATCGACTAGAAAAACCTTTCAAGCGAGATATCTCAAAAACTGTGAATATTTGAATAAAACTATTCTACACAAAGTACCCTTTATTTTTGATGTAGAATCCGAAAAAAATATAAAAAAATGTGTGTTTCTATTTAAAAAACCAAAGTTGGTGTCTGGCCAGGAAAAGTGGAACACCCTGTATAATTGAATATATTTTTAATTTGTACATTCCGAGAAATGTGACAACACAGTAAAAAGAAAAATCCATATATTCCTCATTTTAACATAGATATTGGACTTTCCCGCACTAGTGGGACACGCTGTATAGTCAAGGGATGTACCTTGTAAAGTGTCATTTTATAGAGCGAGATTGCTAGCCGAGACGAATCCAAGGTGAGCAATCGAATAAATCCGATAAGGACGCGATACAAAAGCTAATCTGTTTACGTATAAATTATCCAGAAAGTAAAAATCTGAATCTATACAAGACAGGAGTGTGTGTTTGACACTTTAAAACAAACTAAAACTCATGTTTAAAACAATTAATTCAATTGAAAATGAAATAGTTTAATGAACAATGTGAAGATTTATTAATTTTATTATTATTTTTTTTTGAAGTAGTGAAAACAAAAAAATGATCCGTTTGAAGTTGTAAAGGTTTAATTACATTACAGCTTCCAAGAGCAATTTTTTTTGTTTTTCTATGATTTCTAAACTGTGGCCACACATGTCGACTTTTTCTCCAATTGTTCTAAAGCGCAGCAATAATACACAAACTTATAGTTCTAATTTCTATTATGATCATAGAGACTAATTATGGTACAGTTAATACCATACTTCAAAATCTTCCGTTTTACAATAGAGCCAAGCACTATTCTCAAAACTGAAACATTTTTTGTTATTTTGTACTGATTGGAAGTTGTGACAGTGACATGACACATGGCAATTAAATTTTGATATTTGAATGAACAAAGACGTTAAAATATGGAAAGAGAGAGACAATAATAGCAGCTGAAAAATTAAACTTGGTTCCACTCCTCGCAGGAATAACCGTGAAAAAATTAATTTCTGATTTGACCTATCAGGCTTTTGAAAAAAGTAATGGCAGAAAATAAGCTATTGTATGCGTAAAATGCTTAAAAATTAACTTATTTTTGCTTCAAACTTTAGGGTAGTTCTTCAATTTCTATCAGTTACAATTAATTGTCCGTGTCATTCTTATAGATATATGCGTTACCCAGGATGTTTTGGTATATTTCACTTGAAGTTATAAAGTCTTTGTATTATTGTATTTGTTTATGAAGCCTTTTCTAGTAAAAAATGATTAATTGAAGAAGCAGAATTTAGCATTGTAATTGTAATAGGTGGCTTTGAAAACAAAACTGGACCATACGTCAGTTTATCTGACGGTTGCCATTAAGGAAATTTTGCAAGGAAGAACTGCCCAGGTGATCATTGTATTAATTAGTCAAATCAATAAAGCAAAATTAACGTATCAAGTAACTAATTCTTCCATTATGCCATAGTGGTTGAAGAAGAATGAAAACAGAAGGGTCCTAAATTCAACCACGAATGCCATCTTGATGAAACAAAAACAACTCTACCGAAATGGTCAAAAATAAATTGAAAAGAGATGTAGAAAACATCGAATAGATCGTCTCATATTCCGTCTGGAGCACCAAATGTGTGTGTGTATTTTCATAAATCAGTATAAAATAGGATCATCATCAATATGTTTTCCTTATGTAAGGTATTTGAGTGAAACAATGGTGGAACATATCCGCTTTAGTAGCCTTTTGTTATGGTTTGGGGTTTCAAACAGTTTTCGAGGTGTCCGGCCCTGATTACTGAATATGTAGTATCTGCTTTTTGTTATGTTTCTTTAAGTAATAATTTTTAAATCAAATAAAAATGGTTCAATAAACAAAATAAAATCATATGTTTGACAGAGAAAAAAACTTGCAAGCTCGTGATCAGTAGAGCTCGTGACCTAAAGTGTAATACAATAAATAAACGGTTTTCTTTCTCGCCCTGTGTAAGGAAAAGAACTTAATAATGGCACAGACCTTTGTATCTAATGAAAATCAAAGAATTTGTTTGAGTTGTGCGGTTGTTTATATCAGTCCGTTACAATAACTCCAAACGGATTCATTTTTGTGATAAAGGTGTATTAAAATACTTAGTCGAATTTGCGTACTCTCACAAAGTAACAGAATAAAAAAGAAATATATAAATATGTGCCCGAAAACGCTTCATTTTCTAAATGCAAGGTGTTAAAATTTGAAA